CCAGCTCACAATTTACACATAGACGACCAGCTCCCACCCCAAACTCATTTTACTATTTAGAACAGTTAAATAAATGAATAATATAACAATGTTTTATTTTTTATCAATCTTTGAAGTACACATAATAAATAACTTACAAACAAGAACAAGAAGCACACACTTTACCAAGATAATATATATTTTGCTACAGGAAGTAACCATGTGAAACGTGAACGTGTTAACTTCTAGTAAAACACCTTAAGTAGTCTACATGTCTAGCTAGAAAATGTGGCTTGTCTAATGTTCATTAGTCAAATGGATCAGAAAGACTTAAATCCAAATGAAATAGAAATGCATTTTTACAGTGACTTATTCTGGGATACTTCTGTTGTGAGATCATTTATCCTGCCCTTCTCTTCTGCAACTCCTTTTCTCAGCTCCTGATAGGTATGTCCTTTTGGTGGACGATGTGCGTTTATCAGTTGCAAATAAATTATTACAACATAAGTTTGCAATGCAAGGAAAAGGCCACTTTTACTTTTGTAATGTTTCATTTAATTTTAGATGTAATTAACAATTAATAAAATTGATCATCACAATATTTACTACTTTCAGAATTTGAAATGAACAGCATTCGGTGTAGCAACCGCTGAAACCGCACCGATATTGTCATCTTAATGGCAAAGATAAGAGTCATTTACCATGTCAACACTGAAATAAACCACTGTAGTTACATTCACAACTAATAATATTATAATTTATTATAACAAACTTGAACAGCCCAAATTAGCACATAGGCAACAGAAAGAGCCATTGGAGATAAATGTTTGGCTCACATTTGATTAAAAAAAAATGTTTTGTTGCACATTAAGGGGGCCCCCTGGTGGCCCCCGGGCCAATGCATTCGCCTACTGTAGATCACCAAAGCCAAGGCCCAGCCCTAATATATAATGTGTTTTTGTTTATTTGTTTCGGTTTTATTCAATTTTTAACAAACCAATGATTTTTCCCATCTTTTACGGCAAGTGCCTTCGGACAGAATTGAGTTGAGTCTGGACGTACCATGTTGCATCCACCATCTACTGACGCTGTCTCATACTTTTCTTAATTCAGTGTCCATGTCTATCACCTTTTGCACTTTTCAAAGATAAATATATATTCTTATTATTTTATCCAAAAAGTGAAATTATATAACTGATTTTTATGTTTAGGTATTTCAAGAAAGAAGAGATTTGCTTGGCAAATGGGTAAGGGCAACAAATGTGTGTATAATATAATGGAAATGTCAAGTTATGTAAGGGCTACAGGGTATTCTCACTGTATAAGGAAATAATGTTGTATCATAAGAGAAACCCTTCACATGATGTATTAATTTACTATAAAAGATAACTCTTTTCAGAAATAGCTAATTGAAGTATGAACCACTAAGCCCCAAAAAACAGTTACTAAAGTTACAATAGAAATGATTCTTCTCTTAGAACGCATCTTATACAGATTGCTTTAAATGTACTGTATGTTCAGGGGAATTTGTGAGAATTAACCTCAAGCTGTGCTACATCATTTGTAAACTCACTAAAACAGTATCAGAGCTCACTTTGGTTTGTTCATATGTATATAGGGTTTTATCAGGTTGTTTTTTAAAAACGTCAAGGAAATTGTTCCTGGAGAGCTTCAAACACATTCCAAACATCCCAGTTTCAGAGCTGAATTTTTAGAATGTTCTATTTCAAGGTGGCCGATACATAATGGTTAGATGTTTTGGATAAAATTGTATAGCACCCTCCCACTTGCTGTGTACATGAAAATGAAAATATTTTCAGGTTCGGTTGCAAATGTAATGAATACGTCCCTGCGTATAACAGGGATCTCAGCTGCCCGGGCTAGGGGAGTTCTTCTTAAGCTCAGCCAGCAAGTACCCTGTTGTATGACGCCAGAGACCGGGTTCGTGCCCAGGAAGTGAGGGACAAACTGGCAGGGCAGGAGTGGCAAAGGTGGAAACCCCAAGACCTTTTACAACGGAGACTCGTACGGGGATGACCCTTTGCCGAGGACGGCAAATTAAGCAGGGGGGAGAATGTAACGAATATACCCCTGCGTATAACAGGGATCTCAGCCGCCCAGGCTGGGGGAGTTCCTCTTTAGCTCAGCCGGCAAGTACCCTGTTGCGTGACGCCGGAGACCCGGGTTCACACCCAGGAAGTGAGGGACGAACTGGCAGGGCAGGAGCGGCAAGGGCGGAAACCCCAAGAACCGAGCAATGGATACACAAGCAACATGGCAATGGAGAGAGAATGTGATGAAGGCTCGAACCTCTAAAATCCTGAGTTGATGTTGTAGACTCTTGGCAATGGCTAGTGAATTGGCTCTATGAATTGGTTACATTACTCTGCTCTCCTCCCCACTGATATCTGATGTGTGGTGAGCGTTCTGGCGCACTATGGCTGCCGTCGCATCATCCAGGTGGATGCTGCACACTGGTGGTGGTGGAGGTAAAGCGCTTTGAGTGGAGTGTCCAGAAAAGCGCTATATAAGTGTAAGCAATTATTATTATTATTATTATTATTATTATTAGTGAATTCATTACTATATTAAGGTTTCCTTTACACAGAACCTCATATTTCCACTCAAAGAGGGGCTTGGTGTTTGTGGCCAATTGTACCAGTTCTCTATTATATAAGCCAGGCCAGAATGTTTATTCTGGCTACACGCAAACCTATATATTGCGGGTATATCCTTAGAACTCTAGGTTAGTATCCTTAATATACAGTATACTGTATATAGATACGGCAAGTAACACAAGAAAGAGGAATCAATTATCTAATTAATAATAATAATCTAACTAGCCTCCCCTCCCCTGTGGTTTGTACTCTATAGATAATATTATCTTAAGGACACTGCTCCAGGATTTAAAATAAGCTATTCAAAACTATTTGACCTTGTTCCAATAGGTGAAAATGAAGTTAAATAGTAAAGATAGCAGGACATCTCGGTCCAGGTACTTGTGAACCCCAGTGTCTGCTGTTTTTTGTCCCAGCTGTGTTCCTGATTATTTAATTGTTTATTATTTAATAGTTTTAATTAGCAATTTACATTTTTTATTTTTAGATCTATAATAGATTTTAAATTACCTGTAATTGTTCAGTTAGGTTTAGTAACTTGAAAATGAACATTTTAGAAAAGACAGACAATTAAGAAAGTCCAGTAAATCAGGTTATTTTTACAAGTTATATATTTTCAAATTCAATTCAGTTCAAGGTGATATCAAAATCCAAGTACTGGCTAGACGTAGTCTTCTTGTTCTACTTGTAGGGCAGATGATGGTGTGCATGTTTGTTTTATCCAAAGATTCCCATTCTGAAGCCCAGGTGAAGCTGCATTGAAGTCTTTCTGGTGAGGGTCTTTCTTGAAGGCAGACTTGTCTTTGAGGGATTAAATATGTCCTCGTAGTGGCAGGCATGGGATGTTTTGGATTTTTTTGGGTTATTGCAAGTCATCGAATGTGTGGAGTAGTGATATTTGCTAGGACAGGGAGCCAGGGGACTGGGGTGGGTTCCCAGTGATGATGCAGGTGGTGGAATTGAGCTGGGTGTCTACTCTGTGAATGCATGATGATCTTCACCCTCCCTACAGGGATACACTGAAAAAGACAGTGCATCTCAAGGTGTACCAACAACTTTGAAGATCAGATTTTCCCTTGATTTGACCTTGGCTACTGTTGACTTTAAGTGCTCCCAGAAGCTCAACATTCTATCTCGTGTTACTCCAAGTATGTTGTTGTAGGATGGTGCTGCAATTTCTGATTGTATATCTGAATGTTAAGCTTTTGTGTAGCTAGTGCATTGCGGAGATGGAATAGACTGAATACTTGCGAGGCTTGGTTTGAGTTGCCATGTGTTTCAGTACTGTTCACTTTAATATGTTCTCATTTATGACTTGGTCCTAGATATCAAAATTGTGGGCTTGTGGTGCCAGACAGATGTCATTGGCATATATAAACTTTCAGGGTGTGGTTTTTGGGTGGTTTAATGTACAGATGATACTGATCCTTGAAGAAATCAATTTTTCTGTCCTTTTCATGTACTTGCTTCCTGTCCAAGGTGTCTATTGTAGCATTGTCTGGATTATTTTGGTTTCCCAGGCTTGATGTTGCACACCACGATAGCTTCAACAGAAGATCTAAGTGCCAGACTGTGATAATTATTATACAGTTTGATATAATTTTGCTACAGAGTCACATCACTTACAGCAGCAACCTGATTTTTTTAGGGTTCTCCCATCCCAAAACTGGTCAGATCCAGGCTTCCTTAGCTTTTGAGATCTGATTGGAAGGTGCTTCTCTGTACCCATTTTGTATCAAATTTGAGGGTATTTTTTACTTAGGTAGATCTTTATTTCATAGCATCTGTGTTTCATTTGTAATTTATGTTTTGTCTCTTTTCCCTTCATCCTCAGTTTAGCCCAGGGAGTAAGTCAAAGTAAGATATGATACACATTATTGAGTTCTTTACAAGCCGTGGAGAGTCTCTAAAGAGTAAGTGTTATTTAGCTTAAGAATAAGCGATATTTAGTCGACATTGTGGTCACCAGCTGAAGGTCAAATATTTGACTTTTTTTTAATATCATCTTAAAATCTCTTTTAAATATGTAGCAGATGCATTATTATTGTGAAGTTAAAATAGCTTAGTATTATCTAGAAATTCATGTGATGCCTTTGCAAAAACGGTAATGTTACAGCAATTAAAGCTTTTATCCAGTCTCTTGCAAATGTCAAATCCTTAGCTTGTGAGAATAGGAAATTCTTTGCATTCTGGTAGCCATATGAAATTGTCAATGTAGACTTTTAAATAATTTGTTACAATGTATTCTACATTTCCTTGTAAGCAGGTGTTTGTGTCTTTCTTTGTTTAGTTTGACAAATGGACAGACTCCCAGCGAAAGCAGGTGCTGCAAGACTTTTTCGATAAGTGTTCAAAGGTGCAACTGCGATTTGCTTCCAAGCAGTTGCGTAATCGAATTCCAGAAGAGGCCCTTGACTTCACAACAGTCCTGCCAAGGGTGCTGTCATTGTATGTATTTTCTTACCTGGATCCCCGGAGTCTTTGTAGGTGCGCACAGGTAAGGAAGACAACTTTGTGCCAGGATTTTTTCAGAACCCCATCACTGATGATGAAAATATTTTTCCAAAATGGAAAACTGCAATGACAGATTAAACCTCAAGGTGAATTTGTTATGCTGCAGCTGCTGTTAAAAAAAAAACTTACAGCTAAGTGATAGGCTGAAGCACAAGCACACATTTTTGGGTGCCACTTCAGTGAAGGAGGGTGAGAATATGATGGTAATATGGATGAAAAATGGTGCAAACAGGTGGGTAGCAAGGCATACCGGGCTCCGGTGAAAAAAGATCCCTGAAACTACGGAGAGAGGGCTGGGGGAACACAGTCCTGAGCAGGAAAAAAGAAAGGGGAAAAATGGTCAGAAGAGGAGAGGCTCTCCTCAGGAAAAAGACTGGATCAGCTTGAGAGTGGAAGCCTTGAAAAAGATTGCCACTGGGCAAAAAGGTAAACTGCCAGCGGTATACAAAAGAATGCTGGTAGTGAGGGAAAAATAAATTCCGCTGCGTCAATGCTCCTGTGAGAGCACCAATGCTCCAATGAGATAGCAGGAAAAAACTGGTGACTGCAAAGCAGACTGTTTGCTTGCTAAGACCTCAGTGTGTACCTCAATGTTGGAGTATTGACACAGCGGAGTGAGTTGGCTTAATAGGCAGCTTATTAAATTGATTGAGACCTTGTTGATTACCAGGTTGATTAAATGCTGGTCTAATAGAAAGGCATCCCAACCTCATCTGCATAGTCTCAGTAGATGGTTGAGAGCTCATGTGAATGCTGAGGTTGCCCTTGGCAACTGTGGGACACGAATTGGTCCCATCTCCAGGATGACAGAATTGGCATGAGTCTGTTGCAAGAGCCCTTCCAGAATCGAGAGACAAATTGGGACCCTGTCGGCAAATCCATGAAGCCAAAATAGTTCTTTAGCAAAGATGTCTGCCATCTGGACAGCAGAGTGTATCTTAGGCAGAGGAACTAAATGAGCAGCTTTAGAGAAGCGATCGACCACCATTAGTATTACAGAAAGACCTCAGAAGCGAGTGAGACCCATTGTGATATTGGTAGAGATGTGCTGCCAGGTTCGATCTGGAGTAGGCAATGAGAGAAGATGGCCCACAGGTGCCTGACACCGACAGGAGTCCTTAGCTCGTTTCCATATGGGGAAAAAAGTCACAAAGAGTCACAAAGATGTTACGTCTGTACTCATAGACAGCCACCAAAAGTGACGGCAGAGGAGTTCCAGAGTGGGAAGGCATCCATGGTTTCCCGCAAGTCTGGAAGAATGACCCCATTGCGACACTTCCTGTCAGGCTTGTGCAAAGACATAGGTTTTATCTGGCAGAGCTTTGGATGGAGCTGGGTTGGCAGATTGAGCTGCAGCGACTTTCTGTTCTACCGCGGGTTCAGGCTTTTTGTTGGGTGAACCAAGAAATTGAGAGACCACAGCTTCCACTCCAATGTCAGATGCATCCACCTCGATCTTGAAGGGCTGAGTGTGATCTGGTTGCAGAAGAATAAGAGTGGTAGCAAGTCACTCCTTCAGGTCCTCAAAGACCATTTGCACTTCAGGAGTCCACTTACCATGATTGGGCCCCTTCTTAGTTAAATCTGTGATGGGAGCTACAATCATACTGAATCCCCAACAAAAGTTGTTGGTAGACCTCATCAAATGCTGGATCTGTTTGAGGGAGATTGGTGCTGACCAGTCCTGCACTGCTGCAACCTTGCCGGAATCTATTTGAAGACTGGTGGAGCACAGAATATGGTCCAGGAAGGCCACATCTGATTTTTGAAAGTCTCACCTCTGATTTGTGAAACTGGTTTTCCCAGAGCTGCTGAAGGACCCAGTGAACGTCCTGAATATTTTCCCCATTGGTTGCAGAAGAAGATGACACCACAAAGTCGTCAAGAGGATCCCAGCAGATGTCATTTATGAAGGTCTGGAAGACAGCAGGAGCATTGCAGATTCAAATGGCATCACTAGATACTCACAATGCCCAGCATGAGTATTGAACATTATATAAACCACATACTTGTAATTTCCCTTGTGTGTTGAAACCGGTTTTCAATTCGACTCCTTCCTGTGTTCTGTTTAAGTTGTTCTTCCCCTTTGAGGTCAGGTTTGTGAAGAGCTTCGAATGTGGATTCTCAAGCCAGGGCATCCCTAGTCAGCTGGGATAGAATGTACGCCACCATTAATTCATCAGATGGTAAAGATGATGGTTGCATGGAGAAGACAATATCATACTGAGTGAGGAATTATCTGTCACAGTGAACAAGGAGAGTAGCCAAGGAGGAGGAACCCAGAGGAATGGATATTGCCGCCTGCATCATCTCTCTCATCTGTTCTCTCTTATCTTGTAGCTCAGCACTCATTTCAGCTGTTTAATTTACTGTGGTAGTAATGCTGATTTTTGGCACACCAGGATGTGAGGCATATCTCCTGTCCCTGCAGGATTTCTTTCTTCAGCTTCAAACATTCTCACTGCAGGTGCTGCTGAGCAGCACTAAAGTAAAACGACTGGCCGAATCCTCAAGTGCAGGACTTTTTGCATCTCCAGAAGTTTCAGAAGAGCCGAGGAGGCAGAGAAACAGGTCAAGCTGGTGGAAGGCAGTCAGTAAAGAGGTTGATAAAGTGAATCTTTTCTGGTAGACCGACGTGGTAATGAACTAATGCTTGCTGTCGAAAGAAGAACGTGAAGCTACTGTAGTGATCTCACAGCTCTGGGGAGCTGAATATCTGAGTGTTGGTCTAGTGGAGAATTAAGCTTTAAATAGACAGTTCAATCAGGCACTTAATTATTAGATTAGTTGCCTGATTGAAAATTGAAGGTGGAAAAGAGAGACAGCCTGAGGGCATTCTCACAGGGCTGGTGGACAGGAGACCTAATATGGACTGGAATAGTTAAACTATTGACTTTTTGCTGCTTATAATCCATGGGTCTTATACTCAGTAAATCACAATACTCTGCATCACTCTTTTCCTAGTTTTGCCTTTTACTGCTAGGCCATAATAAATAGAAATCTAATAACTACTGTAAATCCAATAGTATTATTAATCAGATCTTTGGTGCTAGAGAAACACTGAGTATATAACATTTTGAAAAACAACTGTTCTTTTTTAAGTTATACTGACATTTATACATTTGTTTTCTGCATCCATCATGTCCAATTTACAAACTAAAAGCAAAAGAAAGAATGAACATGATATGCATATTAAAGTACATTTCAGCATACAGCATCTAAGACTACCTATGTCCTAGCAAAAGGAGCAGATTGTTACAAACAGTAAATCTACTGTATGTTGGTTAAGTTGCATCTATGTTTAGTTAAGCAATTGCAAAACAGTTCAAACAGATACAATTAAGCTGACAAAACCTAAATCAGCTGTTTTTTATCCTGAATCAGATGACCATTTATTCAGTTGTCACTGAAAAAAAATATGGAAGCAAATGACAGTTAAGCTGGTCTACAATTGTTCTTTTATGTTTTAAATAAAAACACACTCCCATGATTTTCAAGATCCTTTAAAAGATATATATAAAACAAACCCTTATGAAATGAACTTCATGGTGGTTTAACATTATTTCATTATCTCAGTTTTATACTACTCTTTTACGCCTGCAATACTTGGCATAGCCTTAGATAATGAGTGTCTTACTAAATTTTGTTTTGCATAGCACTGCAGTATTTTAGATCGTTTATCAGGATGATGAAAGTAAGGTTGTGTTTCATGGTAGGTGAGTTGGCACTGGAAGGAGCTGACTGAGCTGGACCAGCTGTGGATGCCCAAGTGCCTGCGGTTAGGCTGGTACATCAACTTCACACCCACACCTTTCGAGCAGTGTGTATGGAAAAGGCACTACATAGAAACAGTTAAGGAGCTTCATATCAGCAGACCAAAGGTGATGGCATACACATCCTCTTAAACCTACTTTTAAGAGGTTACTATTTAAAATACTGAGAGAGTGAATATTTCAATGGCAAGTGACCACCTATAATGAGTTTGTGTTTCATTGAGTTTTGTTAAAATTAGGAGATTTGAAAAGCAAAGCTCAGAAACTGTTCTGGCTAACTTTGTTTTTTTGATAGTTATAGGTTTATGATAGCCAACTCATCTATCATTAAAAAAGTTCTTGGTGGTTAAGAAAAAAAAGACTCAATGCTAAAGTTTAGGATGCATTTTAACATTTGAATTTCCCTGGCTATTGAATTTCAGTGGCTATAGCTGTAACTTGTTGAATATATAACTAATTTGTTTACAAATCATATCTGCAGTTTGCCCAACTTGAGGTCTGTTATTACCATATGACCTTTTCCACATTTCAGATGAATAACAGTGAGATTGTTTCTAATGAACTCTGTAGGCTGTAAAGTTACTGTCTGAATTCAGAACCTTACAGATTTAAATGATCTTTGCCACCTTGCATGTTGTTTTTAGGCATCCATAACATTTGCTGTTGATCATTGTTGTTGTTTGTATTTAATTCATGTAAATTTGGAACTCTTGTACCAATTAGACTCCTACAAAGGACCAGTTTGTTGTTCCGGAGGTGAAGGCGATAAGCCATGAAGTTCCAGATCTGGCAGTGAGCTGCGCAAAGCCGGTCCAGACAGCACCTCCATCTCACAAGGGAGGGTCCACAATAAGGAAGGAGCTCCCACCTTGGAGGGGCTCTGACAGACACCCAACTGACACCCTACGCTTCAACTATCTGGAGAACTTTGATCCCATTGAGCAGGCACACCAAGCGTAAGGAAATACTGAGTGTACAATATAGTTGCTGTAAGACTACTTAAGTAACTTCAGTCCAAAATTAAATGTATTACTTATAAGTGTTGTTAAATACCATATTTAACTTAGCAATCAATGTGTAATAATAAAAATTAATGCAAAATGAGTAAATTGTTTTTGCCTGTTAATATCATATCAAAGCTACTGGAGCAATGGAACAGTTGTCTGTAAATATCTTACAGCTTAAGCATATTTCACTATCTTTAATGTAGACCAAAACATAGAATTAAATTAAAAGATGTAATGCTGAGCAAAAGAGTCATGATGTCACATGAAACACATCTTATTTTAAGCAGGATCAATTGTCTGGATAATACCTAAACTAGATTATTATTTGCTGTGCCTCATCATTACTAAAAGGTTACAGTGCAGTGTAGCTATTACTCAAGCTAAAGTGCAAAAACAGGTTAACCTAACTCCAAGAGACTTCTCTTAAATTTTATTTCAGAAGCTACAATTGTTTAAAAATTAGAAAAGGTTAGGTAAATTTAAATAAATAATTCAGCCAGCAGATTTGCTTGAAGTGCAACCTAAGTCCTAAACACTAGTCTAGACAGGCTAGTTTGAGTCAGGGATGTTGATGACTGTGACTGTGTCTTGCCAGTAATAGAAGCATCATTCCCCCAAACAACACCTCTGTTGTGTGTTGAAATATAAGAGGCACAATTATAGTCATGATGGGGAAAGAATTTGTACAGCCCTCATTCTGGTACATATGTTGGAGTGGTGAGCTGAGCTGATCAATAATTGGCAAATCCAAACTGAAAGGTATACAGAAGTGAAATAATTGGTGACTCCTGACAAAAGAATAAGTAATGTGGCCTGTATATGTTACATTGACAATAAAACCAGATATTTTACATAAACTATTTGTGAATGACATCTATATAAAATGTGTAGGAAATGTGTTGCTGTTTTAGTTGAGATACACCCATACCAGCTAAGCAGTTATACGATCCACTGGTTATACAGTATTAAGTTTTGTTTTTATTTTTTTCTGTCAGGCAACGTAAAGGCAAAGGGATGACCACCAATCTCTGTAAACGAGAAAACAGACCAAAGAAAACACCTTCTGCTTCTACGTACAAACTGCAGAAAGCAAAGTCACTTGTAAGTACATATATTGAATTCACTCTGTTCTTTTATTCCAAAGAAAATTACACAAACAGTAACGGGTTAATAGGTAAGATGGACTGTTGTGGGTCTATTTAAAATATTAATTTTGCAAACATTAATAATTAAACCAGGTGAAATCCCATTTTTAAATGTCAACCTAATTTTATATATAATATATACAAATATAATTATTAATCAGAATATAAGATGTGACTTTAACACCCAATTTGTGGAGCATGGAAATCAACCAGGTATAATCTTAAAATAAACACAAAATATTGTTAATCGCATTGAGTACAGTATAAAATAAATATACTGTATTGACTGCATTGTTATTTTAGATTTTAATTAAGTTAAAATACAAATTAACAGTTTTTACCTCAGTGAGAAGTTGCATGATATACACTTAAATATTAAACCTTGTATTTCAAAAATTGAAAAAATGAATAGCTGTAGCTGTAAACATTTTCCTTGAGCCAATGTTGAAAAAACAAAGGATTTTAAACAGTTAATCATTACTGCTTTGGGAGAAGGCAACACTGATTTTAATTGCCACTGCAAAGTGTAATTGCTTTTCAGTTAATGTGTTTGCTTGTACATTTAAATGCTTAATGGTGCTCTACATAAACTTTAACCCACATCAGTTTTGTTCTGACTTTGTATTTCTGTTCCTCTGTCGGTTTACTGCCCAAGCACAAAGCTAACTTGATAATGTAGTTCCTTTTTTGGCTTGCTGGGCCAACAACTAGTAGTTTGCAGATAGCAAAGCAGTCTACCTAGTGTGGGCATCAGCAGAACCATCTCTTTTCTCAGCCTGGTACAGCAGTAGATTTTGCTCCATCCTGCTGGCAGTTGAATCAGTATAATCTCCTAAACAAAAATCATTTTGGAAGTAATTTCTCTTCAAAAATACTATTTTTACAAAACAAAGCTATTTATCAAGGAGATTTTTTATTTATTATGTTTTACGGTCCTTTATTATTGAAAAACCCTTGCTTTTCCTTGTAGATGTTCCTCTCATTAGATATGAATGCTAGCCAGCGGGTACAAAGCAGGCCTAATTGGGCAACAAACAAGTCAGAAGACTATCCTGTCACCAAGGAAACTGCCAAGAGATTGGCTCAGACTACTGAGTGGAATGCTGGGATGTATCCACGTCCTGTGAGAGCACCAATACCTCAGATGAGTGAGAAGGGACTGAAGGCTTCCCAGCGTACACAGAGGAGCTCTCCAAGTAAGTTGACTTGCTTCTGCTCCAGGGAAGAAATGTGTTGTTCAGTGCTGATGGTGAAATTAATCCGTTTAATCATTTTCTGACTGCTTTATGCAATAGAGAGTAATCGGTGAGCCGGAGCCTATCCCAACAATCAATGGGTGCAAGGCATGTCCATCCCAGGGCTAATAAAGATACAACCTTGCACACACTCACACAAGGGGCAGTTAACCTACCATGATGTCTTTGGACTATTTGAGGAAACTGGAACACCTGGAGAAAGTCCATGTAAACACAAACTCCATGCATTTGTATGGGGAGAACATATAAACTCCATGCAGATACTATCCCAGGAATTGAACCCAAGGAGTTCTAGCCACCGTGCCGCCCTGGTGAATTTCAAATAGTCTTATATGAAATATCTTTTAATTCCTCACATCAAGAAAAGATGGGGTAATTTCTCATAATATTATACCCTAAGTAACAGTTAATTTCAATGACATGATTACAGGTTATAATAATTGCATTTATATAGAATTTTAACCCGAGGGATTTCAAAGACTCAACATACATAAGATGGACCTGCAACCACAGAGCAGCACCCACTTTGTCGACACACACTAGTTATTATGCACAGCAGGCTGACTACACAGAGATCTTTGTAGAAGAATTTACTTCACCAGTTGAATTAAGGTGGAACTTTGGGTAGGCCAAATTGTTCAAACCTAGAGTGAAATTTAACCAGGTCATACAGGTTTGAACAGTGTCAAGTAATTGTACATAATCAATATAATCTATGGATTCATTTGAAAAATGTATCATTATCTCAAAAGAAAATAAAACATAGTATATGTGACCTGCTCTTGTGTGTGATTCCCTTTTAGAGTTTGACTTAAGTGACATCTGACATTGAGGAGAGCAGACAAATTATTTTCTGAGATTTAATAAAAACCTTTTCAGGATATCCCTTCTCTACCTTGCTGCAATCAAATCTTTATGTACTATATAGTATGAAAATAATTTTTTAACAATCTTTTCTGCAGCAGCATGACACAGACAATTGCTGTGCAGATTCACACAAAAACGAGGAAGCCTTCCGTGAAAGTCACACTTGTACAACCGAGCTGTTCAACTGAAATGTATGCTCTGCATCAGGATGCAGATGCTATGTTTTGGGATTTTCTTCCATCCTTCAAAGAGCCTTTATAAGTATATTCCTTTTCACTGGTCTCTGAGCCAGAGATGCTAAATGAAATATAGTGAATCTAGCAAGTAGAGCACCCATGCTGAACTGTCACAAGAAAACTATTGTTACATAAGAAGCATATAGATGTGTATTGTCCTGCTACAATAATATCAAAGATGAACAAATGAGTGCCCACACAGTTGGTAATCCATAAAAGAGGAGCTCTTTAGCAACTGGACTCCTATCCAGACCATCACACTTAGTCCACTCCATCAATAGATCTGTTGTACACAACAATTAGTGTATCATTCTGCATGTCCAATTAAAGAAGACTTGGCTTAGAATATGCTATACATTGAAGTTTTATCTTTGATGATTGTGTACATTTTAAACAGTACATAAAACAAGAACCAAGTGCTTTCTGTGGTCACTATATTTTAATGTTGTAGGTGGGGGAAGAAACATTTTATTAAAATAAATTATATTACCAGCTAGGTTTAGAAAGGTCCCATATTCAAGTACAGCCAGCTTGATTTTTGGTGAAATATTTTTTTTTCTTGCAGCAGTGCCGCTATTTGAGGTACAGCCATGGAAGATCCCTCCTTCAGATCAGGGGTCTGATGAAGATTGAGCCTGTTTGCAGAGAATCCCAATGCACAACGCAGTCTCACTCTTCATTATGCAAGTCACTCTGGACTTCATGTTCAGAATGCAACTCTGACTCCTGTAAATGCTCTATTAAAATGGAAGCTTCATCCTTATTGCTTGTAGCCATGTATTTTTATGAATTATGTTTCTCCAGGTGCTTCATAATTTGATTGCAGTATGTAAAATACATTTCCAATAGATATTAATACTGCACACATGAAAGGTGTCAGGTAAAAAACCTTAAATAAAAAAAAAACATAATAGGGAATTCTGCAATTGTGAGTATATGTGAAATTTCAAGATAGCTGTTATGAAAGAGGGATGATGTGTCCAACCTACAATCCTTCAAAAATGGAGTCAAATATTAAAAAAAGGTTTATTTAATAAAGAAAAAAATGTTTAACCTTTGTATTCATATAGGCTTAAGTATCAAAGATGTGCAAATTCTGAGTGCATAGGGATTTGTAGTTCTGATTTTCTGTAATCATTAACCATAATTCATTAAAATATACAGGAATCAGGTATTAGAGGGGGAAAAAAGATTAAACAATTAAGTATTTTCAGTTTACTTTCACTGTAGGGCTGTATTTTTAAAAACCACTAGTACCTGTTTATTTCTTACTCAATACCTCTGTGTAAAAAATTAGATCCATCCATTTTCTAAATGCTTCATCCAATTCAGATCAATTCTGGGCCACAGAGGTGCTAGAGCTTTTCTCAGCAAGCAAGAGGGTACACACAAACACATTCACATTAGAGACAATGTTCCCAGAAGCCAATTAACCTACAGTGCTGTGAAAAAGTATTTCCTCTATTACTGCAAATTTTTTTACAATGAATGTTTTCAGGTCTTCAGCCAAAATACAAAGTACATCTTTGGACTGTAGAAGAAAACTGGAGCGCCATGTGAAAACCCATGAGTACACAGGGAGAACTTACAAATCCCACAGATAGCACACAGGCCAAGAAATGAACCCTTATTTTCAACACTGTGAGGAATGCTAGATATTAATTAGGAGCAATGCTAACAACTGCACAGTATTGTGAGGTTGAGGAACAATGTTGAAAAATGTTATCTATGAGAACTAATCACATATTCCTGATTATGCAACAGCTGTGGCCTATGAACAGTGTTTATCCAATATTCTTGTACACTGTTGGCATGTTAAGTAAAATTAAAAGCTACGAAATAATGCACTGTTGTAAAATAACCATGACAATTGGTTCTAAACATTCTAAACTGTTTCTTTATTAAAACATGGGTTTACTGAAGATTTATTTATCCAAAAGTTTGTGATGTTGTACAGTATACTACTACAGTGACAAAAGGCTGTGGAAAAATACAATAGTGAATTTTATTTTTTTAATACACAGTATTACAAACTCAATTATGATTAACAACTTAAAAAAATCAATTTAAATTTAGGTCAATAATGCAGAACAAACTGTGAAGCATTGTTAGACATTTTTAAAAGCGTTCCAGTAATATTGAAGATATATTCTTTAAGTATAATCATCAAGAACTTGCATAATAAGAAATGTGAATGTAAATAAGAAATGTTTAAAGTTACCTGCATGAAATACCACTTCTTATTTTGATAAATGATAAAAATACACAAAATGTTATATTTTCTCAATTTCTGGACTAAATTCCTAAATTCAGTGTTAAACAATCACTGCTACCTCAATGAAAATGAATAAGTTCTGAATAAAAAAGAAATTACGCCATTTATAAACAAATAGAACCTAAAGCTAAACAGATGTACATTTCCAAAAGGCAACACTGGCATTAAAGGAGCAGGAATTACTCAACATGCTTCATATCTGGTACTACAGTCTCAGTGCATTAAATATATGATGTAAAACGTGCTTCTCAAATATAAATTAGGCAAGTATTTTGACTTTCAGTTTCTATGTCCTACAGAAATTTGACAACATTCTGCAGTAGTTTTAGAAGTTTTACAAGATCTTTCAGCTCCGTTTGATGTTTTTGAAGATGCCTCAGAGTTACAATAGCAGACTTACTGATCAGAAACAAAAAAAATTTTGTCTCATCATCTCATGTTACATTAATTAAGAAAGATTAATCTTAAGGCACAACCAAAGTGAACTATGAAAACCATGGGAAGATAACTTTTTTTCTGAGGTACAAACCCTTTGTAGTGACGAAGATCTGAGATCACACAGGTAGTTTTAAAAAGCTTCCATGACAAAGCATTCTGTGACTGGACAATGATCACAAAAAAAAGGAATGCAAGAGATTGTGTGCTTATCTAAGATATTTCACTAACATTTCTTACTTCCATAAAGCAAAGAAAAAATAATCCAAAGTTGGATAGAAGAGAGATAATTTATTAAAACGAGCTAACACAGGACACTCACTTGAAATCCTGGAGTGTTTTTCATATAACCTCCTCGGAGAATCCTCGGAGGAAGGAGAATGTGCAAAATCAAAAATTGAAATGTTTTCTTTCCAGTTTGATTCATCATTGTAAGTAATATTTAAAACAATTGTGAAGCTCTAGTTCTAGTTCTTAAGGGCTTTTACTTGGCATTCTTTTAGAAATCACTTGTTCAGCTAAGATCGTGATTGGAAATTCCTAATGGGTGATGATTAGTTAGGCACCAGCAAGACTTGGTTCTGTAGTTGGCCAGGATTTGCTCAGCCCACCAAGCAGCATTAACCCCTGTGTCTGGCCATGTCCCTGTAAGCTTGCAGTGTTATCAATTACGTATGCCTCAAGTCCCACCATTGACACCTTAGCCCTCCAGTTGTACTGCTCCCTTGCAGAGTTATAGGATGTAAAAAGCCAGATGATCCAGCAGCACCCAATTTGAAAGTTGCAGATACATTTCCTTCATGCTGGCACAAAGGCTGAGAAAAGAAATTTTGTGTACAAAATAAAAATAAAAAAAATCACATTTCAAAAAGATAAATCAAATTATGGTTTCAAGTATCTTTAAAAGGCAATCCTCCTGAGGAACAAGAACTTAGAAATAAAGTAATCACTGCTGTTGCCACTGTAGTCCGTTATTGAATGTGAGCACATCAGATTTCTCATGTTTGTTCCTCAGTTTTTACTCCACAAAGAACCTGCAAAGAATGGAGTGAAATAATGAATAATCAAATATTTTTACTTATATGAGACAAACAAGATTACCAAGCAAAAGTCTCCCAAAAGCATTTGTTTTTCAAGACAAAGTGAGCGCTGAAAAATCTAAAATGTCTAGAATGTAGAAAAAAGGTAGTTAACTAACCTTTATAGTACAATCCATTGATAAACATTTTAAAGATGTCATAGCAATAATGACAACTTTAAAAATGATAAAGGAACAGATATTTTTTTCATTTCTCAGATTCAAAACTGCCTATTTTTATATTTCATCCCATTTTGGAACTGCCAGTTGTTGATTAACTCTTCTTTATCACGACAGCTCTTGTACAAGAAAGGGACCAAAATGTTTCCTGTCACCATTTTACACACCAGTAAATCAACAGAATAAGTGTTGATATTGACAGATGGCCCCTTTATTCAAATTAACATGAATCCACATGTCTGGTAAGCTACTGATTCAGCTAAGAAAGCTGAGGTAGACTCAGGACCATCCCAATTCTAAATGTCCTTTGTCAATTGTGTGCCTCTGTATAGGTTCCACCATAAAATCCTGTTAATTAAGTCCAGTTTTGAACTGCTGATATCTAATAGAAAATAATTTTACACAGGTTTACCCTACATTATTTGCTGCATTACAGCACATTTAGTTTCTCCCATCATATTATTCGTATATACGAATAAAAATGTATTTCGAAGTCACAATCATTAATTTAATATTAAACCATTAAAATATATTAACAGAGCAAAATGAAGTTCATACAACACATAAATCATATAAATATTAATATTTTAAAATTGGTACCACCATATTTAAAAATTGCCTTTTGGAGGTAGTTAGCAATTCATGTAAAACCACCCACTGGCTATTGTCTCAAAAAACATTTTGCAGGTACAAAAGACACTTCATGTTGTAGTAAATTTGTTCAAAGTAATATAATTTTAAGTTGCAGCAGGTGAATAGGGCTGTCGATTCAGTCATAACTTACCATCGTTCCCCTTTAAGCATAGCCATCGCCATGTGCAATGAGCTGGTGTGCCAGTGGACTGCAGTCTGGGCATTCTCCTTCTCGGCTAGCCAGAGCTGCTGCCTCTAGCTGCATGGGAAAACAAACGTACCAGGCAGTGCATGATAATCCTTGGTTCATGCAATGGTCCAATATACAAAGAATTCCTCAAGCCTATCTTCCACACTGCAAAATACTATAAATACTACGTATATACAAACAATGGCTAAATATCCGCAAGCTAGATAACTTTGTTAGTAATGTAAGGGTTTGGGTAAATAAAAACTCAACATGTTACTTGGCAATCTTTAACACTGATAGTCTACAAAAATTGGATCACACAAACTCCACATGATTTAATATGAAAACTTCAAAAAGTCCACCAAAGATAGAACTGTGTTTCTGTGTAATAAAGGAAAAACAATAATACAAATCTATAGCCAAACATAGCACTTTTTTCCAATTTGTCATAATATTAAAATGCCTCTATTCTAGAATGATATTAAAACATATAGCATCATTGACTATGTGACAGTGTTATTATATTCTCATTATTCTATGATAATGTGCATTATTGTTAAGATGTTCTCTCAAACTCCCTAAGACTATACTTCCTGGTGCTACTCTCATCTGCTTATGATTTATATGTAGTCTCGACCTTTTATCACAGCCCACTTATTTTCCTGCTCAGAACAGTTTAATATCAAACAGCTTTGACTTCGTTTGCTCTCCCAGTCATCAGAATTTAAAACAGGTGGGACAATCCCAGTCCTGGAGAGCCACAATCCAGGTCATTCTAAAATAATTAGTTTCTAAGCATTTGGAACAGTTATATTTAGATCACATAGATATGTAGTTTGTTCAATTAAGTAGTTTAGAAATAATGAAGATAGCCAACATTGTTGCTCTCACCAATTACAGTTGGTCATTGCAGATTTAATTGAACCAATCAATTTACTAAACTGATCACATCTCAAATGTGTTTCACATTTTGCGTCGTTTGTAAACCAATGAAGAAAGGGTAATCTATCATAGATCTCCAGAACTGGATTTGCCAACTTTGTCAAAAAACCTGTAATGGATCACACTTCTGTGTGTTTGGAGTCTTTCATATTAACAACATAAGAGTGATTTCACCAAAATGCCATAAATTCTCATATTGTTTTCTAATTGGGAAATGAAAGGAACTACAGAATTTAGTGCCATCCAATAGTGGCCCCCTAAAATTTTAACCTCACTGGGGCTCTGGATTCAATTCCAGACCTGGCGCGCTATATGTGTGGGATCTGTATGTTCTTCATGTTTCGTGTGGGTTTTCTCCAGGTGCTCTGGTTTCCTGCCTTGGGAAAACTGGACCTGTCTGTGTGCCCTGTCATGGACTGCTCTGCATACGTGGTTTGCAGGCATAGACTCCGGCTCCCCCACAACACTGAATTTGATGAAGCGGTCAGAAAATGGATGGATGAGTATGCTAGTGAAAGGGAAAACAGAAGGGAAGAGTTGTACCTGCTCTCTGAGGTAGCTCTGGTTACAGGGGCTCTTGCCAAGAAGGGTCAGACCCACTACAAAGCACCATACAGAGAGGCCTGCCTCCACTGCAGCCATCAGCATGCAGGGAAACCATAGTGCCAGTGTTGTGTCCTGAGGTAGAAAGAAAGGAGAAATCACAAGAATAAGCAAAGCTGACTGACGTTCAGCATTAAAAACAGGGTGCTGAAATTCAGCAATAACAACAACAACAACAACAACAACATTACTACTACTACTACTAATAATAAAGTAGACACTCCACTCAAAGCACTTTACAGGTAATGGGGACTGAACCGCCACCAATGTGCAGCCCCACCTGGATGATGCAATGCTAGCCAAAGTGTGCCAGTACGTTCACCACAGACCAGCTATCATGTGCAAGGAGGGAGGAGAACAGAGCGATGAGGCCAATGGATAGTGGAGATTATTAAGAGGCCAGGGTGAAATCTGGCCAGGATGCCAGGGTTATAGCCCTACTCTTTTCAAGAAATGATCTGGAATTTTTAATAACCACAGAAAGTCAGGACCTTGGTTTTATTTCTCATCCAAAGGATGACACGTTTTTTACAGCATAATGTCTCGTTTACTATACATTAGGATCCACACAGAACGCAGGGTGAGCGTCCCTCACTGGCCCCACTAACACCTCTTCCAGCAGCAAGTTTTCCCAGGTAGTCTTCCAGGTTTGCGGGTACTGACCAGGCTCACACCTACTTAGCTTCAGCAGATTGCCAGTTGTGAGTTGCATGGTGATATAGCTCTTGGCATTAAACGCATACACTCTTAAGTATAGACTATTTGTTAGAAAGTTGGATTTGCCAACTTTGTCATAAAACCTGCAAAGGATCACACTTCTGTGCATTTGGAGTCTCGTCCACTGAAAGCGGATGGAAGGACTCACATATATGCGTGTGCTGTCGAAGGGACAGTCATTGAAGGCAGAGGACTTCACATTCACAGGGAGCACAGTCATGTTGCAGCCCAACATCAGGTTCTTCCCTCCACCGGATATGGTCAGGGAGATGGCCAGGAGCAGCCCAACACAGCATGCAGCAGACAGCAGCGCGTTCAGAAATGATGATACGACCAGACATACGTGCTGATGGAGAACAGAGAATAGCGACAGTTCCTTAAACTTCAGTACAGAGGGCACTTGCTGCAACATTCTGCACAAAAACAAGTTAATTAAAATGACAATTGCTAATATTAAAGTCTGTTTCCAAATGTATAGGATTGTCAGTTATTCAATATAATACCCCCCTCATTTCTCGAATGTCTCTTTACATTTTGGCTCACAGCAATGACGTTTATATCTAATAGGCAGAATAAAAAATGTTTTTTAAACCGATGCACCAACTGAAGTATCCATTTTTGACAAATCACAAGCTGCGCAAAAACATACAGACAGGCCAGCATTACTTGCAGGAGGCAGCGTGAGCCTGTAGATGTCCGTGAAGCAATAGGAGTGAGGTTTCAGTGGGAGCCAATAGAGCCCTGTGTAGCTAACTTATCCCTGGTGGCCCTCAGCCAATTGTGCACCACTATTAAGGGACTCTGTATCTTAACACTGTGTTCCAAGTTGAATTGTGAAACAATTACTATCAGGTCATGTAATGTGCATTCCTGGTGTGCTCTCTTTAATGCTAATGGTTTCTTTGCCTTTCTGTTTGACATCTTTAGGTCACAAAGTGCTGGATGTTTTCCCAGGTATTCTCCATCTAATTTGGTCAAGGGCCATAATCTCTCAAGCCTGCAGACTTCTTCAAAATAAACAGTGAAACATGAACCATGAACTAGGGCCTTACTTAACTACAGTGCAAATATGAAAATAAAGCAGTTCAGTTGCTTGGGCACAGGAAAAAAATAAGTAATTCAACAAACTATTTTATTCCACAATTGTACTGTCCCCTCGATAGCCCAGTAAAACTGTACCGGTTGTAATAATATTTAATATTTATTAATTAACCATACTATTTTTGCACTCTTCCAAGAACAACCTTGCACTGTTTTTGTCCTGTTATATTTT